GCTTTGCGTGTGCGCGCCCACTTTGTGGCTCACAGAGAGCAGGAGCATTCAAATGCCAACTTAACTGTGTTAAGCAGCGGTGGGATTCACATTTTCTTACCACTGGTTCGCTCCATGCCCGCTCGCTTTGCGTGTGCGCGCCCACTTTGTGGGCACGTGCCACTTCTGCATATGCACTTTGCTCGCATGTGCACCTTCCGCGCATGCCTAAATAGGACAGCATACAGCCAGGGCGGGCAAACCAGTCCAAACCGGCTGAATACTATCTCTGGTGTTAAGGCTCACTAACAAAATAAAAATTAGATCTGACAAATACCTATAAATATCTATATACAACTAAAACTCTTCTGTATGTAATCTTCAATGAGCCAAAATAGTATCATAGAGCAACAGTTTTTGAATCATGAATCCTCAAATGGCTAATTTGCAGAATGCATCCATAACCTTTGCTCGGGATTGAAATTTGGTGAATTTATTTATGATTGCTTCAATATTGCTGAACTGCTACACCACTGCCTGGAAATTCAGTAGATCAGTCGTACTCTACCCCTCTAGAGGCTACATAGACTGATTCTACCACTGGCTGCTGGAGGGTGGTCAGCTGCAGTCAAGTCACTAAAGAATCAGAAGTTGTTCCTATTCCTAGTGCTTTTTTGCCCTTAGACATTCATTTTTCTCTTTAGCTAAGAAAATATCTCTAAAATAATTACCCAACAGGTTGCGGGTTATCTTGTTATAGACTAGAGATGAATGATATGTAGATTTAGCTTCTATGAAAGTATAGCTTCTTTATGAATCTGACAGAAACATTTAAAATATACCTGAATTTTAGATTTTTTTTCTTCTTCAGGGCTGAAACAACTATTAGTGTTCAAGTCTGAGTCACTGTGAATATAATGAAGAGTGGATTCTACAATGTCCTGAAGTGCAGGGAAAAAAGAACATTTTTTGTAGAAAGATTGTGTACAGCAACATCCTAGGCATATTTACACAGCACAGGCTCACTATATAGCAGTGATGGCTAACCTTTTTGGTGCCGAGTGCCCAAAGTGCATGCACAGCCTCAAAATACAATGCAAGCACTCCCATGCATGCGCCCCATGTCCCTCACCCATTTTTGGCTTACAGGTTGGTGTAGGAGGCCTTCCAGGCCCAAAATGGGGTGTGGGTGGGGGATGTGCATGCACGGGAACCCTCAAAATACAATGCAAGCACTCCCATGCATGCGCCCCATGTCCCTCACCCATTTTTGGCTTACAGGTTGGTGTAGGAGGCCTTCCAGGCCCAAAATGGGGCATGGGTGGCCTTGCGCGATACCCCCACACCCTGTTTTGGCTTACAGGCTGATGCAGTAGGCCTTCCACACCTAAAACGGGAGTGAGAGGGGGAGCATGCATGCAATCCCCCCAAAATTCAATGCAAGTGTCCCCCCCATACATGTGCATCCTTCACATGTGCTTCACCCCCAGTGTATGTGCGGCAGAGACCTGAAGACCAGCTGGCTGGTGGGAGGCGCACACGCATGTGTGGTGGTGCTGGGCTGGGGTGATGGCTGGCGTGCCCACAGAGAGGGCTCTGCATGCCACCTGTGTTACACGTGTCATAGGTTTGCCATCACAATTATATAGAATGTGCTATATTAATTCATAAATTATGTTTTCTTTTCTTTACCTCAACAGCATCATTGATTAAAGGCTCTGTGCCATTCTGGATGAATGCACAGTTTAGTTGGTCTTTGATGCACATTTCATTTTGACAGTTTGAGAACTTGCCCATGCTTGCTGAAGGCTCCTCTTGAGGATCTAGACTGGAAGCTCGGAGAGCAGCAGAGAGTACCTCCACTTGGGCTGTGCAGAAAGAAGAAATACTGTGATATATCAAGAAAGGTCCTCTACACAGTAATGATACACACATATTAGTAATTCAGCATCACTTCCCACATACATTCTGAAGATACAGGTAGGGCAAGGGCAAACAGAGATCTCCATTGGTAACTTTGGGCAGATTCATTCATATTTTTTTGGCCAAATTAGTCATACTCTCCAGAGTTTTCTCTGATCTCAGTGAAACCAAAATTCATACACCAAAAAAATCATAAATGCAACCTAAGTTCCAATCAGTGTATTTACCGGTAGTCAAGAACCAAGTTTGAAAATTGTTAAGAACCAATGAGTAGGAACTTCAACATTTTTTGAAAATACAAAACAAAGACTGAAAGGGAATCCAGTATTATTTTTTAAATTATATTAAGCCCCTTTTTCTGCCTTTCTAAAGTCCTTTATAGTTAAAAATCTAACTTCAAAATTATTATACAGCAATCATCTTGAGTTGAGTTGAGTTTATTAGACTTGTATGCCGCCCTATTCCCAGAGGGACTTTCTTACCACATATATCTTACCACATATCTGACTCAAAGATAAAGCATGTTATTATACATATATGTAAATTTTACTTCAAGAATATGAAAATTATTGGAGAGGCTTCATAATATAAAAGCCTGCTTAGTGGTGCACACCAAAAGATCAAACTATAAGCACTAGAGGTTTTCAGAGCCTGATTTAATTGTATTAATAGTTGTTAAATTCACAACAGATGAAAGCAGCACAGGGAATAAAGTTGTTAATTCTGGCTATTTACCTCCTGAGAAAAACAGCTAACTGATGATCTCAGGCTAGCTTTTGATTTCTTTTGAAAAGGAAGAATTCTAGCTGTTCAATATACAGCTAGTATTTCTCAGGCATTAGTAATTAATTGTCCTTTAAAAGTTAGACTAAGTAAAGAAGGAAACCTTAGACAGAGGTGGTAAAATACAAATGTAGTTGTAACCATTATCAAGAAGACCAGAAGCTGTTTTTTTATAACTATGTTTTTTCTTTTCCTTCATTCCTTCCCTCCCTCCTCCCCTATTTTTCTTTGTACTTTTTTCTCTTATTACTTTCCTTTTCTTACTTTTCTGTCAAAATTTGTATGCTTTTTATTCTTTTAAACATTTTTAAATAAAAATTATATGAACAAAAAAGAAATTAATTGCTGTTTTTTCCTGGACTTTGTTCAGCATTGGTATAAGTTATGCAGCCTGAACAGCTAAATATATATTATTCCTCACAAATAAACAATACAAACAGTTAAAGAGAATATTGGACTGAATGATTTCCACAAATATTACTTTATCAATTTTATAAAAGGAACTTTCAGGTAACTGGAAGTCTTATTATACTCTGCAAAATAAGAGAAAGAAAAAGCACAGGTGGTTTGCTAAAAGTTTCCTTTTTGTGGGAGAAAATATAAGCATTACTTCCACTTTGCTGATCTCTCATTGCACATTATAACGATTATTTGCTCAATACTCTGCAAAAGAACTAGCCTTTTAATATAAACTACACTGAAGGAACAATTTCCATGCTACCTTAAAAATAAAAGGATTTTACTATTCTAGCACCATACTTTAAAGCATATTCATATCAAATGGGAGAATTTGTTTTTATTATTTCTAGATTTGTAACTTTATTCTCATGTTTGACGTTTGGACTAACTATTTAACTCATAATTTTATTAGTTATACTGATTTCGGCTTCTGATCAACATTATCAAGTTTTTCCCCAGTTCATCTTGCACTAATTCCATCTTCCGTTTTCAGGTTCAACTAAACCATTGCTTCCTGAATGACAGTATTTATCTAGCAATTGCATTTGGATAGGTCTCACTTTTACCCTTCTCTGACTTATTTTGTGCTCACATCTTCTGTAGGTACCTTTCCTGTATTCCTGCCATATAAAATGTGCATGATATTGGTAAAATCATGCTAGCTTCACAACAGCATAGGCAATTTAAATATTGGACCAAGGTAAAAGAGAAGAGAATTACTAAAACTAATTAATAATGGAAACTTTTGGAGTCTACAAAAACAAACACAAGAGATAATATAAGACAGGCCAACGGACCATTTATTGAACCTATTTTCCCTAAGTCTCTCTAACCAGCTGTTTTACTACTTCATTTCATTAATGTTATTACTATTTAGAATTTTGTCTGTTGTGTCTTTTTTTTCTGATATTGGTAAAATATTGCAATTCAACACCCTTCCTGGGCTTTTCTCAAGTTAGCAATTTCCTGCTTCCCCAAATTGTGTTTACTTCCTTTTTCTCTGCTTCTTTGCTACTGCTTCACAGAGAATGTTGGTAGATTCTGACACAACTGAAGCATTATTTTAAACTTTTATGAAAGTTACCAAAGGTAAAAATTATGCATTAAACAACATATTTCAGATGTTTCCTATTATAATCTTAAAACTTTAATCAGTTAAATATATATATATATATATATATATATTAAAAGTAATAGAAGTAGGAAAATCAGTTATTTCTTCTATATCTATTTTCCTTTATTATTTTTTTCTTTGCACTTTTATTGTTATATTTTTAGCTTTTTAGTTATTTGTAAATTTTAACAAACATTATAAAAAAATCTAATTCAAAGCTCAACATATACAATACAATACAAGATGTTTATTACCTTTAACATCTGGATCATCTATATGAGGCTCCAAATTTTCTATCATTTCTTCCAACTCCTTTCTTGTAGCCATTATGTTTGAAGATGCACATGCCATAACCTCTTGTTGTCCTTTCTGATTTGCTAAATCATCCTTTTCTGCATTTTCCTGAAGTTCTAAATCAATATCTATCTTAGGAAGTGGAGTCCTCCAGAAATGGAATGAATTATACAGTTCTTGCTCCACAAGTGAATTTTCCTGTGAATGCAATGCAGGTTCTGGTAGCACTGCTAACATACAATGATCAAAACTGGGTTCATTCTCATCTGAAGGTTCTTTGCATGGTTCTAAAGACAAAGTACTATGTAGCAATGCCTCATCCTGGAAATGAACCAAGTTACTTTCTGTTTTGTCATTTTCAGGGGTGGCTTCAAAATCGCATTCCTCAGTGTCTAAAGACAACTCTGTCTGGCTTTGTACATCATATGTGGATACATCTTCTGAATCCTTATTGTTTTCACTGCTGGATGAAAACAGATGTCAATATTAGCTGATCTAGCATAAGAGCCACAGTAGCGCAGTGGTTAGAGTGCAGTACTGCAGGCTACTTCTGCTGACTGCCTGCAATTTGGCAGTTCAAATCTCACCAGGCTCAAGGTTGACTCAGCCTTCCATCCTTCCGAAGTGGGTGATATGAGGACCCAAATTGTTGGGGTAAATGTGCTGACTCTGTAAACCGCTTAGAGGGCTGTTAACACTGTAAAGCAGTATATAAGTCTAAGTGCTATTGCTAANAACCTTTTTTGTGCAAAGGCACACTTTTTTCATGAAAAAAATCACGAGGCACACCACCATTAGAAAATGTTAAAAAAAATTAACTCTGTGCCTATATTGATTGTATATAAAGTAATTTTCCCACGGCACACCTTACACTATGTCACGGCACACTAGTGTGCTGCGGCACAGTGGTTGAAAAACACTGGCCTACAGGATGGCTGACAGTGTGGCACAAATATAGTAGAGATTGTCCTCAACTTACAACTAGTCATTTAGCAACCATTCAAAGTTATGGCAGACTTTCCCCAGGCTGCTTACAAACTCATATCCAAAGTTCTGACGACTGATCATACTTTGGGTGTTTGGTAACTGGCCAGCATTTATGGCCATTTGCAGCATTCCAAGATCAGGAGACTTATGATTTATAATCTTTTTTGCCAAAAACCAATATTTACTTCTGGTTTCTGACAAAAAAATGCTCATTGTGAATAATTTGCTTAATGCCTGCTGCATTCATTTAATGACCGCTACAAAAAAAGTAGTAAAATTGGTCCTGGCCATGTGATGACTCACTAAATGACTAGCATGACTTAAGACTGTAATTCCAGTCTCCATTATAGTCAAAAATTGAGGACTACCTGTAACATCACAAAGAACAGAGGTAAACCTCTTCATCCATTTGGGGTGTGTTGTAGGGAGACTATTTTTTTTATTTAAAAAAGATGATTTAAACCTCTCCAAGAATTATTAGAATTCTCTTGGGTCCTACCCCTAACTTATAGGAAGATTTTTTACAGCTGAGACTTCAGACAGCCTTGATCATGAACTGCTTTAATTAAATAATATCTGGAGACAAAACTGGTTAAAATTAAGAGAGGCAAATTCTGTATTTCCTGACTACTTTCTACCTACCTATACTAATATCTCCATTTCTCCTTTATTCAGACCTGACTCTTAGAAAACATATAACCCCCTAAATTTTGACTAAAATACTCTTCAATTTTCTAATTTAGTTCAAAATTTACAATCGAATTTAAAACAAAGGATTACTCCTTGTCATTCCCTTCTAGATAATAAGCACATAGGAAATTACTTTCAAGATAAGAGGAAAGACAGCAAGGCAATTTGATAAGTTCTTACCACCGACCTTTTTCTAGAAGTGTTTGTCTTAAGGTCTTTGCAAGCAGGACTCTAACGTTTGGAACTCTGTCTGAGGCCAAGTGTAGCAAATGGGGCAGTAGATACTCAGCAAAGTGATCCATTGGAAGGCAGTCGTCTTCTATAATAGTCTGAAAAAGAATGATATCTAAAAATACCTGCTTCATTAAACCAATGTTTAATGGTGGGCAGTGAGGTGAGCAATAAAGGCTTAAAGTAGTATGGAACAAGAATCTATGTCAGATTTGGGCTTTTTTTCTTTTCTTTCTAGCTTTGATGTTCTTCTATTTAGCCTCTTCTTTCTCATCTTGTTGTAAATACAATCAGTCAGTCATTTAAAAAGAATTATTCTTTTGGATAATGAAATAGCAATAGCACTAGCACTGGCAATTATATACTGCTTCACAGTGCTTTACAGCCCTCTCTAAGCAGTTAACAGAGTCAGCATATTGCTTCCAACAATCTGGGTCCTCATTTTACCCACCTCGGAAGGATGGAAGGCTCAGTCAACCTTGAGTCTGGTGAGATTCGATCTGCCAAACTGCTGGCAGCCGGTGATCAGCAGAAGTAACTTGAACAACCATACTGTAACTGCTGTGCCACCACAGCTCATATGTAACAATTACACTTAAACACACTAAATCTTGGCTTGTTTATCTATTTGGAATAGGCCATGAATGCCTGTGATCATATAATCTTTTAAATAAATTATGCTAAACTGGTAATTAAATTGATGTGATTAAATTAATTACTAAATAATTAATTGGATTAATAACTAATTAAATCAGATTGAGAAAATGATCAACATTTACACTAATCCAGAGCAAGCAATTTTTTCCCCTTTATGTAAGGAGCAGAGAAACAAGAATGATATAGTCAGCAGCTTGTACCTTATTCCTTTGGGATCCATTTTCATACATTGCATTTTAAAATGCAAAATAATTCATTACTGAAAATAGAGGAGCCACAGACAATAGTGATCATAAAGAGGAAGTAGAATAATTCTTACCTGGCAAATAAAGACAAATGCTTGTCGACCAGACCACTTTGGACATCTGCAGAATCTTTCAATCAGTTCATTCATAAGATCAATCACAAATGTTGGTGTTGGAGCATTGTACAGCTTCTTTACCATTTCACTAACCTAGAAAACATGGTCCATTACGTAAATCAATCGCTAAAATAGTTGGTGTATTAAACTGTTGTGTTCAAGGACTGCTTTTTAACTTATACCAGCTTGTAGGAAATCCATCGAACAGAAGAAACCTTGTCTGCACAAAGGTTGAGGGCAATAGGTCGCAGATAATCATATATGTCTCTGGGACTATACAGATCAAGAAGCAAAATCAGCTGCCTACAAAAATAGAAAAACGAAACAAAACAAGAGGTCAGAATTATTTTAAAAAATCATAGGGATTTTATTTCAATTAATGAAAGTTAATGAGTTGACCATATGCTAATTTATTAATTATTTGCAACTGTCCTAAAACATAACAAACCTTTGAAGATCACTATTATTCAACCCCTAGGGAGTTTATCATTTATCCTGAGTGCCATTCTTCAGTTCTGAAATGAGATTGTTACAGGGGCTATCTCTCAAATCTAATTATTGGGGCAATAATTTTAGAGTGCTGATCATTAATCTCTGGAGTTGAGTTGATCTCTAGGGAGATAAAACCAGAGAATGATGGTATGATTTCCCAAATACAATGCATGGCGGCAGCAATATGCCTAAAGATATATGCTGAGTTTCTATAAGAATCTACTACATCTACTCCTACCTCTGCCGTTACTATTATGACCTATACTAATATGCTATTCCATAATATCAGAGCCATCACAGAAAAATATTGTTGCTTTGTTTTGATTCTTTATTTTATGGAAATGTAAATTAAGGGTTTCCTCTAGTTGAAAACACATGAGTTGGTTCTAGTTGCCAATCCGTAAATTGTCTTGTAACAAGCCATATAGAGTCAATTGCATTTGGAAATTTAGTGGTAGGCAAAGCAGATTTACCATGAGTGCAAACTGTTATATTCCCACTTGTCCCCCAAAACATCTACGTGGGCACAGATCCAGTCAATACATGATGGAGAACATGTTCAACAGTATTCTGGTCATTTGAACAGTCTACAGACCAGACCATTGCAGAATGTTATGCCAGTCATTGCTTCAAGCACCTCCCATGAAGAGTTCAGACTGAGGTGAATCTGAGCAATTCTGTTGACAAAGTTGGGAGCAATAGTGTTAAACTGGCCAGATGGGCGATTTATTCATGCAGGTTTCCCTAAAAGGGAATTCATTAGCTTAAACAAGGCCAATGGCTGGCAGCCTGCCAATGCAATGAGACGTTTCAACAAAAATAAAAAAGCTGGCTTGAAACCAAGCAAGACACTAGCTTTCAGAATAATTTTCGTTTTTCAAGATGCCTTTGGATTCTACATCAGTCTTACAGGCATGGTGAGAAAATAAATAGTAGTTATAGCCATTTTTTTGTTTGTAAATGTTCCCTTCCCTACCAAAAGATGAAGTCACAGGAATACATAAAGTAGTATACTGTGTAGAATAGAAAGGAGTGTTGCAACAACCTTGCTTGCTTGGTGGTAAGCTGTAGTTTTATGACCAGCCTTAGAAGCCAGTCTGTGAATGGCATTTCCAGTCATTTTGTTTAGCAATCATGACATGGTCTGAAAATATCAAATGTATTTACTGACTCAACAATTGTTGGATTTATTGCTGATCAACTCACAGAGGACCCATCATTCATAGGACCTGTTAACATTAAATGGCTGTTTCATATTTTCCATGCTAGCATTCTTTGCCATCATTTCTGGCACTCATTGAAAATGATGATGAATCACAAAGAACTGTGGTCTCTCCCAGCATAGAACTAAGTCCAGATCTAACCTAATATAACCTTTCCGAAGGAAACCATAAGATAGCAGGAACCATCTGCTTTATTGACACTGCTGATTCTGGAGCATTCTTTAACATCAACAGGTCACCCACTACCTTTGTTGCTTGTTCCAGACTTAGCAAGGAAGGTTTTCTTGGGTATCTAGAATTAAAAGACTTGTGCACTACAATACCAAGTATATTAGTTTAATAGTAAACCTCTCTGAATTAAAACTCTATTGAAAATAAATTACTCTGAACACATAAGGACCTACTTATGAGCAACCATGGATGGATCATAGCTATTATCATCTGGTAAGAGAAAAAATAAGGAGCTGGTTTTCTCAAAATTTTAACTATGTTCATTTTGAAACAGTATAATTATGGCTATCTTAATAATCAGTTTCATCTTGATGATGTTTATTGCCAAGATGTTATTGTTAAGGGTAAGCAAAACCCTCCTGGATGGTCTGCAACAAGAGCAGGGGGTTATCTAAGCAGCATACTGAATGAGTTAGGAAGAAACATCCAATCAAACACAAGGCATTTCCAACATGAGTTCCTTGGTTTGCATTCTGGCTTAGGATACAGATTATTAAGAGAAAAACAAGACTGATCTTGGTTCACATGTTAACAAACCAGCAACATGCCCTTACACATGTTGCTGATATATCTAATTATCACAAAAACTTACTCAGCAAGCTCTGCTCGAAAACGCCAGTTCCTGCTATTGTCTGTGACCAAGAATTCCTGAAGTTGGTAAAGATACTCCCGTCTTTTATCAGGATGAAGAAGCTGGAATAAATAATTATGAAACACTTTAAGAATCATATAGAAAATATTAATTGCTAAGAGTATCTGAGTAAAATCACTGTATAAAAAGTGAAGTTGTCTTAAAGGGCACTTTTGAAATTGTAAGACAGCAATATGCAGTATAAAATTACATCAGAAATTAAATTACAAATAAATTTGACAAGTTAAAAAACAGAACAATATAGGAAAGAAGGAAAAATACTAATTTATTTTTGAATATATATAAAAGAAGAATGTACCTTTAAAAAATCATGTAGGTGCTTAAGCACACCAATCCTAACTTCATCGAGATCTTTTAAGAAGCCATTAAAGACTGGAACCAGATCACCTGCAGTGAGCTGATCTCCAAGAATGACTGCAAGTTCATGTATGGAGAAAGCTAACGTTCTTCGAACTTTCCACTGAAAGGACCCAAGCAATTATCAATTATACAAAATGACTGGTTCATTTCATTGCAAGTACAATATTAAAGCAAAACAAAGGGAGATATGTTTGAATTTTATCAGAAGAAAGTTAGAAAAAAACAACAGTGGCACACAGGAGAAACATTTTCAGGAGAAAACAAATTATGCTAATTTGTCTTTCTCCTGATTTCTTTAAAAATTATTTTGCACTCTTGCCGACCCAGGAACCTTAAACAAAGCATTTTTATACCAGAAGCCTTCTTTTTTAACCAGCTTAGGTGCCTAATATGCAATACAGGGCTAGTTGTAAAATCTCCTCTTTTTTGCCTGTAATTTTGTAGTAAAATAATTCCTCTTTTGCTAATAATGTCTGCCTTTTAGAAATATTAGAGCAGTTTTGTAACGATTACTGAGCAGGAAGTAAAATATTTTTCTAATTCTTGCTTCCTCCCCCCCTTTATTAGATAAAGATATTTATTTCTGAAACAACAATTAAGCAGGAAAAAATGTATTTAATAGAAATTACATCTCAACAAGCAAACAAATTGCAATGTAACTATATTGTAGAGTGAAGTAAAATTCCATTAGTTATTCAACTATCTAAACAGAGAGATATAATCTACACATTAACTTTCTCACTTTTCCTAAAACACTTTTCTCATGAAAAAATCCCACAAGAAATAAACCAACATTTTTATTACTTCAATGAGACAAATTAATCTTAAAGTAGCATAACAAATTTCTATACCATACAAGTACAATGTGGATTTTCCTTACCTGCATATCAGAAGCTAGAGTCTCATAGGTATCCTTCAGGCAGTGCCAGTTCTGTCTACCTAGGGTAAGTGCCACCCCTGGAAGGCTATAGGCACAGTGTTTGGCAATCTCGGTATCAACAGTCTGAGCTCGAGAGGGATCAGTCATGGATAAATACTGGTCTAGCAAGGCTTGAGGTACAACGTCCTAAAACAGAAAAACAGAATTTAGAAGTCATCTGAAAAAGGTAAAATACCTGTGCAAAACTGGAATAGGAGAATGCATAGCTGTATCTTGAATGAGACATTTGTGGCTGCATACACAAATGAAATTATGAATAATCCAACAGGACTAAGATGATCTGTCCAAGATGATCTGTTTGGATTAAAGAGCTGGGGGGAAATTCTCATACCTTTAATGATTTCTCTCAACTTTCTATTTGAAGTTGCACAGTCAATTTTAAACACCTGATTTCTGATTTTATGTTAAGACTGTCAATATTTAGGATTGTATTCAATGAGAATGCCATGTGTCTAATTATAAAAAACACAGATTAAAAAATTATATGTATAAATTGAAACTCTTATCCAAATTTGTTAATATCTACTTCACACTGTTGTCCCAAGATTAAAAAGCAGTATCTTAGAAATAAACAAAGTTACAGGATTTGAGGCAAAAAGATGAAAAAAGGCTACATTCATGCTGCTCCCGTTCTGTTTAGATATATTTAAAGAAAAACAAGATTCATGGAAGTGTTATACTGCAGCTGCCAAAGCTAAGAGTATGTAACTTCCTTCTTAATCATGAGGTTGTCAAAAAGCCAAGAGGTAAACCAGTCTATCTCGGTGTGAGTTACAAGGGAACAGAATAGTAAAGATTAAAATTGGAATATAAAAACTGATGATTGTAAGAAAAGGATTAGAGCAATCATGTCTTCAGTTGTTTTCCCCAAGCATAAATAAATAAGAAGGGGAAACAGAAATGCAGCTTGATCTTTCATATTTTGTTCTCTCAGGGCTCACAGAGAGCAGGAGCATTCAAATGCCAACTTAACTGTGTTAAGCAGCGGTGGGATTCACATTTTCTTACCACTGGTTCGCTCCATGCCCGCTTGCTTTGCGTGTGCGCGCCCACTTTGTGGCTCACAGAGAGCAGGAGCATTCAAATGCCAACTTAACTGTGTTAAGCAGCGGTGGGATTCACATTTTCTTACCACTGGTTCGCTC